AAATATGTGTTTTAAGTTTCATGTTTTTTTTTATTTGAGTTTTTCTCTTTTTTGTTGGGTTATTTTATTTATTAGAAACTTTTGTTAATTTGTATTGCTCTTTTATTGTTTATTTTCTTTGTTTTTCAACAAATAAACATTCCAATTATTTTCAAAATTTTGCCCCTCCCTATAGAATTGTGTAACGACGCCCATGATTAAAAGCAATTAGGTAATTATTTTGGCGGAGTCATAAGTGGTTGCCAATTCAGTTTTAGATCTTAAATAATGTAATAAAAATTATATCAAATTTTCAGCTTTATTACATTTTTGACCATCCAACAATCTATTAATTTCGTTTTTTGTAATGTTTGATAATATTTCCGACTCTGTATCGGTTGCAAAATCGGCTAATTTTAATTCATACGGTACTTACTACAAAGTTTAAAAAATGTTAGAATTAATATAAAATTTTTCACCGGCTATTGGCCTATAGCCTATTTTTTTTTTTTTTTGTTTGAATTAGTACCAATTATAGACTAAATAACAATTTGTTTGTCTTTGTGTAATTTTTATCTTTACCTTTCAGGTTCACAAAAAATATGAATGATGCTTTTAGTCCTATAGAATTTGGTCAATTGTTTTTAAGCATTTTTGGAATAGGGTTTGGAATATTAATCATATCAGACGTAAGTTACAAATGTTTCTATTAATTATTTATTTTATAAATACAAAATTTAAATATAAATTTTGCAAAGAGTATATACAGGGTGTTTCTTAAGTTGATTTTTTTTATAGTTAATATATTTTTCTCTACATCGAACCATATTACATTATATATAAAATGAAAGAATGTCTCCCCTTTTGAAAACTGTAATAACTACGCTATACTATAACAATTTTTATTAGAAGGTGACTCACCTGGGAGATTTACGTTATTGCCATTATAAAGCTAGCATGGCAAAGTCATGAGCCCACAGAGCGACTTATCCTATATTTTTTGGCTAATATTTTGCTATTTTTTACGCGATTTTTATTTTTTTTTTCTCCTGATGCCGGTACCGAGAAACATTGGCCTTGATACTTAAAATACAATAGCCAGTGCTGTATTTCTGTTTCTATGAGATATATCAGATTCGGGTTTGCGGCATATTTTGTTGCTAATTTTTTGCTCTGCAAATATATATCAATGTATTTGTTTGCTATTGTGGTTCCTAAGAAACAATAGCTGTGCTAACTTGATACTTGAGCTACAGTAGCAAGTGCTGTATCTCTGTTTCTATGAGATATATCAAAATGACATATAACATATATTTTTGCTAATTTTTTTCTATTTACAACCAAAATATTTAAGGGAGAACGGGGGAATGGCGGTCAGTTAAGTCAGATCGCACATAAAACAGAAAATACAGCGTTGTGGTCAAATGTAAATAGTGTAGGAGATGATAGCCTCAACAATTCACTAGACTGTGGTATACCACTTAAATCAAAATAGTATACAACAAAAGAGAAGTAAGATCTGAAACAATATCATAACATTGACTACTATTCCCCTACTCTGCGGTTAATACCGGTCAGCCAAATTTCAATGCTTTTTAAATGCGGATGACAAATTTTCAGAAAATAATGAAATAGTAGTTGCTAGAAAAGTATAGTAAGGTATTTTATTGTAGGCAATAATGAAAAAACAAGTCACAACTCAAAAAACGACATAAACAATAATAAAAATCAAATAATAATATAGATGATAAAAGGGGTATGGAAAAGTTTCACTTTCGTAGACAAACATCGCACTTGTAGTTTTCAGCAGTGTCCCAACCGCTACATAACTCGTGAACATAATGGCCGCACACTATACAGCGGTACCACAACTCACCATCTCTCCCAAATTCCTCACAAATGAGACATATTTCATTGCTTTATTCGCTTTCCATGTCATCCACTTCATCATCCTGACACAGAGTTTTTTCGTCTATATTTTCTTCATCTGATGAATCACTTTGCAACAATTTTTTTAAATTTTTCCTTCTTCTTTTTAAACGTCGCCTTTGGTTTCTTTCCTTTTTCTGTTTTTTCTTTTTCGTCTGTTTTGTTTCCTTTCTCTATCTTTTATTTTTTCTTTTTTGCTGTTCTTCAAGCAGCGTCTTTAAAGGACTCTCGGTTAATATCTGCGAATGTTGTTTAGCTCGAGTGACTGATCTTTTATTAGCAGGACTGGCAAAAGATTGTAAAACTTTGAAGCAGGTATAGATTTCAGAATATTATCTGGTTGCTTAAAATCTTTGGAGGTGGAAGGTTGCGCCTCAATAAGGTTACTTATAGGAACAGGGTGTGGTTTTGGAGAACTATTTATTGTAGGACCAAGAGAATCCGAAGCAGAAGTTTTTTTTTGGCCCCCAACGATGTCAGTTTTCTGTCTGATTACCCTGCATCCAGACTTAATGTTGATGAGCCCTCATTGATGGAATCATCAATAGAATTATCGACATCATAAACCATCTCTATTTCTTCTGTATCGTTCCGGTTGTTAAGAGTAGGAAGTTTTCATCGGTGAATATATTTGGCTTTACTGGATGTATTCCGGTTGCTTGAAAGCCGGAAATTTCGACAGCCATCGTGGCAATTCTTGAATAGGCTTTATTGAAAAGTTCTGCTAAATCGTAAGGTGTTATTTTTAACAATGCCTTTGACTTCATATGAAGGTCATATTCTCTGCGGAAAGCAGCTTTTAGTGGCCCGTATAGGGTAACATCAAGGGGCTGCATTCTGTGTGATACATGAGGTGGTAGAGACAACATGCAGATGCCATTTTCTCTACATAAGTTGTAAGTTTGCAATATGATATGGCTACTATGATTATCTAATACTTATACAGCAGGGTTCTCTTTGCTGCATTTCGAATATGTTATGAAGTGTTCAATCCACTCGTAAAATAATTGTTTATTTGACTAGCTATTGGGCGAACATTTATAAGTAGCACATGAAGGTCCACCTTTTGCCAAAAGCGGAGACATCCTCTTCCGAGGAAAGATAAAAAAATGGAGGTATATAGCTGCCAGCCGATAACTGTAACGGTCTTGCCTCTTTCCCAGCTTGTTACAGAACCAATACGTTTTTTCCTTTGGTCGCGACAATGGTAGCAGGATCTTGAACGGTAGATATCCTAGTTTCGTCGACATTGTATATTTGGTTTGGCACATATTGAGTTTTAGACATTACTCCTTCCAAATTTTTGTAGAATTTTACTACCTCTTCTCGATTAAAGGCGGTTATCCTATTAATGCTGGTTGCTTCCGGCTTCCGAAAACTTATCGTAGGATTCCTCCTTAAAAACGCATAAAATCAGTCCTTTCCTGCCATTTCGGATAAATGGCTAAAATTGTGCTTTATATTGTTACTGGTTACATATTCATAAGCAATTCGTCGGACCTGCTGGGGGCTAACACCATAAAATAGATCTAACAGATATTTTATACGGTTAGCTAGAACGGCTTCTTCCTCCAAAGATAACGTAGTTTGTCTTTCCATACGTGGAGCGGTTTTCTTTCCTGCAGTGTGCTAAACGGAACATGGAATTTTTTGCTTGCTGATCGAATTGACTGTCCTTCTTCGATAAATTGCAGGGCATTTTGAAGTTGCTCGGGTGTCGGGAGCTTTGTTTCCGTTTTTTGATGTAAGTCCTAGGCATCTGTAACAAATAAAACACATTGATTTAAAATTAAAAAAATATACACCCGACTTAGTCATAGGAAGGCCTGTGGGGTAATACCGGTCACGACTGGTATTACCCCAACCGTTTTGACCGGCATTTCCCGAAAGCAATCCGATGACATAAACCTAACCTAAAATTATTTTTCTTTATTTAAGCGCCTGTAAAAGCAGGATCTAAACTACAAGATGCCTCTTAAGACATTCCTTATAATTCCGTGCAAAAAAATAACTTATTTGGGTACGTACGTTGGTTTAAGTTCGTCAAAATATTACAAGAAATCCTGGCAATAACTTGACCACAACAACAGATGTCTTAGACTGGAGCCTTGAAAGCGTAACCCGGTGGATGTAACTTGTACCACTGCATAATAGATGGCGCCGCATAGTTAACGGGGCGACTACGTTTGTAGCGAAAAATTACTAGTGACCGGAATTACCCACCCGACTGGGATTCCCCCACTCTCCCCTGCCCCTTCAAATTAAGAAAATCATCTTCCATACCAAATGAGATATCAAAATGTTTTTATGCCATATTTTGTTGGTAATTATGTACTACTGTAATACATTAGTATCTAATCAGTGTTCAGAATCAGTTCCATATCATAATTTTACCCATGATCACGTAATATAATGCGTTCGAGTAATATAAAATATCTATGTCTAAGTATACTATGAAAAAATTAAAAAGGTTATAACAAAAATGCTCTTTTTTTTATTTTTGTGTTGCCAGATAATTTTTATTCTGTTGGATATCAAAATTATGATATTGCCACAAGTATCAGATTAATATATTTTTTGCTTGTATCACCAGGCGCGTAACTACAGGAAGGCATAGGGGACAAGCCCCCTCCGCAGACGTCGCTAGGACCCCTCCAGGAGAAGGCCGACTTTGATTTTTTATGAAAGTGTAATGAGCCGATCGCATTCTGGAATAATAATTATTTTCACGACCGAATAGGAAATTAAAGTTAATTTAAAACTTATTTTATAAAATCCATGCGGGACTTTTTTGTCGTTTATCTAATGTAGCAAGTTTTTCATTTTATACAGGGTGTAACAATAATATGTACAGTAAGGGGTCAAAAATAATTCGATTTAGGTTAACTTGCTTACATAAAAAATGGATAGTAAGAAACTTAGAAAAATGTAGAAAAGATTACCCGAATCATAGCCTTGGTCGCTTGGCTAGGTACATTGTTACCATTTTATCTGAAATGCCTACCTAATCTTAAAGTTTTGTAATGGTACAATACTATAAAACAAATGTACTTTGAAATGAAAATTATTCATTATTTTTCATTTATTTTTAGCCGGCTAAAACTACAACTGTCCAATTAATAATCACATATATTTATATCTTCGGTTTTTTATTTCAATTGGGAATTGATTGTTTTATTGGAAATGATTTATATAATCAGGTAAGTAAATAAAATAGATATTTCACAATTTTAACCTGATCCCTTTCTCTCTCTTTTTCTTAATCTCTTTCTCTCCAAATCTCTCTGTTTCTAAATAGCTCTCCATATCGCCCTCTATATCTCTGACTATCCAAATTTTTCTCTACAAATCTCTGTTTTCTTTCTTTGTCTAAAAAAACTATATAGCTCATAATAGGTCTTTTCCTTTGCATCGAAAGTGTAGCACTGAGCTACACCACTTCTAAAAATATCGTTCCGTTTATACAAATTGTATGGATAGAACGATATTTTCAGAAGTGACGTAGCTCAGCGCTATACTTTCGATGCAAAGGAAAAGACCTAATATGTCAATTATACGAAAAAATTAGGGATTCCAACGACCTGTCAAAATTATGCACAGGGCTATGATATGGCAACCCTGTGGACCTATTGTCTTTGACAGATTCCATGATACCTATATGTATATTTATATAGAAGCGAATCGTTTTGCGAGAGGCCATATTGCTCATTAATCAGAATCGATTTAGCAGAAATGTCTTTTAAAACCTATTTTTAGCCTTTGAATATAGTAAAAAAATAGTTACCCTCATTTTTACTTTATGGCCTAAGCTTATATTTATTTAAAAAAAAAACATTAATGATCAATCTATGTATAGTCTTTCCATTATCAATTGCAGAACACAGTTATGTGGGGAATCATCAATATTTAATATATACGCACCGTACTCATGCCAAATTAAGAAACGAAAAATAATGTTTACTCCCCTTATACAAAGCGGTAAATATTAAACGAACCATCAGTTGTTTACCAATGAAAACATCGAATCGTAAACTTAAATGCACTGTATTGGCCGAAGGTTTACGGAAGGCAGGTGTTCGAAAATATTCCTGGAAGACAGTTTGCGATATCAGTGGAGTACTGTCGTGCGGTGTGTTTTGTATGTGTGGTTGGTTTAATTTAAATTTCTTTCAATAAATATAAATATGGCGTCCTTTAGACCATACGCGAATGAAGAAAATGAAATTGCACAGTGTAGTGAGATTAAAGACAGGTATGACTTTAACGATAAGGATTTAGATATACAAACACAACAAGTTATTTTAAATATATTCGAATGTTTAACAAAGGAAATTATTCAGCAGTCTGATAATGCGTTCATAATAACAATTGCTGAATTAACTAAAGTAAATAAATTTTCCGTTTATCCGGTAGTCACGAAAGGGGTTACTGTGAATTATTCATAAAACCGAAAAACATGTAAAGAAAAACTGAAATCAGTTGACAGAGCTACCCAAGATTTTATACGAAGGACAATTTATAGTTTATATAAGGAGAACAGGGTTCCAACATTGGAAGTAATACAGCAAAAGGTGGCAGATTTTCCAGGATACACTTATACCAGTTTGGAAACATTGTGTCAAGTTTTGTCAGCATGTGGTTTTAAACACAAAAAATTGAATAAACAGATGGCAATCACCGAATCGTCAAGGATAGTTGAATGGCGACAAGATTATTCGCGTCAGATAAAAGGCTACAGAAGTTCTAATAGACACATAATTTATCTAAATGAAACATGGTTTGACAGTCACGATGTAGTAAATTTCGGTTGGGTTGGCAGTAGTAAAAATCGCTGTTTGAAAGGGCCATGTTCTAAAGGGAAACGCATTATAATAGTACACGCTGGAAGCAAAGACGGTTTCATGCCTAATGCTTTATTATTATCTGCTAAACAAATTAAAAACTGTGCAGCTGATTATCATGAAGATATGACAGCAGAATTATTTGAAAAACGGTTTAATGAACAGCTTTTACCTTACATTCCACCACAGTTAGTAATCGTTATGAACAACGCATCCTACCACTCGCGGCAACTCCTTAAAATACCAAATAGTAGCATTAAAAAAGCTCAAATTTTAGCTCTTATGTCTGAAAAAAATATTCCTATTCCTGCCAGTGATAGTAAAAAAGGACCAACAAACAAAGAATTGCTTACTGTTAAAAGTTAGAAAAAATGTATTATATTGACAAGCTGTGCAAACTCTTCTCAGACTACCTCCTTACTATTGCATATTTAACCCTATAGAGTTAATATTGGCAAACTTAAAATCAGAATTACGAAAATGTAATCAGTCTCCAGAACTGAGTAAAGAAGTTGTAGAACTCGTAAAAAAAGTTCTAGCAGCAGACCGCCAAGAGCTTTGGAAAAACTGTGTTGAACATGTTATCAAAGAAGAAGATGAGTATGTAGTATTACCCTCTTTACAACTCATCATAATTCAACCAAATGATGACTCTAGTTCAGAGGATTCAGACTGCCATGATTATTTATAAAGATACTTTAGAATTGAATTGTTTTTTTTTTTCTTTTGTTTTATTTGCAAAGAATTTATTTTCCTTTATGGTTTTTTCTTTGAAATTTCGTTTTCCAGAAAAAGAACGAATGGGGTACAAAAAGGGTTCAGTTCACGTCTGGTACCCTGTTTAAACCAAACGCCCTTACAGACAGGTACACTTTACTCGCTTTTTTACGTTTTATAACTTAATATTCAGTTATAGCAAGTTAACGAGCTATAATGATTTTTTTTAAGCACAAGTAAGATTACAATTAAGTGCATCTGTCAAAATAAGGGCGTATAATAACGTCCAATTTATAATTATTCGATTGCATATGATATATATTAAAAGTATTAATAAAATAAATTTATAAAATGAGGTAGGTATCTACGCCTATGGCAGATCACACAAAATTGTCGGTAAAGGTTCCAAACGAGTTTTTATGATCTGCAATTGATAATGGAAGAACTATAACTATCTATATCATTGACCTTGTCAAATTACCAGGTGCCATATCATAACCTGTGATTTACCCTCTGGCAGCCATTTTCTTTTGAATGCCTAATGATATAAAAAAGTGAGATATTTAATTGTCTAAAACAATGGTATCGAAATTTTTAAATTTGTAAATTTCCTTGCATGAAAACAGTTGACTATTGACCAATTTTTTATATTTATTTAATCATTCGAATGATATAAATAAAAAAATTGATACGAGGTAATTCAAAAATTATTTTTTGCCTACGTCAACGTTAAATAAATTAAATGGTAGGTATTAAAAATGATAAGGCTTAATTTTCAATTGCTTTTGGAATTCAAACTAATTAATTATTTCTTATTCTAATCGCTTGTTTTTCATAAATTAGCGACCAATGCGTAAACTGATGTCCAAATATCATGCCGATCTGATGATCCAGTGCTGATCTGATCAAAACAACTTATAAAAGTAATTTTAATAAATCGACTTTAAAATCGTGCAGATGCTATTATTTATAAATTGAATTTGCTGATTTTCTCATATATTTCATCATTCATCGGATCTTGATCAAATATATGTGGGACTACCCCTTAAGTTTTTACTTTCTAACAAAAAAAGAATCATAGAAATCGGACAACGTGGTAAAGAATTATCGCTGAACATCCACAAAAAAATGAAGAGTTTAATGATTTTTATCATGAACTTCCAAAAATAGGAATTTATATCAGTTATGTTTTTTTTAAGGGAACACCCTATATTTGATGGTGTCTTTTTATTCCCCGGAAAAAATTAAGTAAAGTTTCTGTAATGTTTCCTATATCAATTTCTTTTCATTTTTGAAACATTTAAAGGATTCTTAATTTGTAAGCTTGAACAACATAACCTACTATGTCGCGGTTATTTAAAACACATCTACAGTCACCTGCGATATGCGTAGGCAAGATATTAGACTGTCGAATAAAATGCAAATTTTTCCATTACATCATACAGGGTGCTCATTTAGTCTTATTGAATTCGACTTACATATGGAGTTGAATCAGGGGGGGATATCGCGCATAGTGTCATGACGGCGCTGACGTCATGCGTAGAGTTAGTAGAGTTAGCGCCAAGTAAATATCATATGACAGACGTACGTTGCAGTGATTTGTAAGTTATTAATAGTAATTTATAACATTTTAAGCTAATATCTGTATCATATTATATTATATTGTAGTGTTCTTTGTGAGTGGTATTAAAAAATGAAGTAAGCAATTTACGGATGTAACAGTAACAAACAAAGCAAAGGAATTGAAAAAGACGTTGTTTTTCACATTCTTCCACAGTAAGAGGTTAGTCAAAAATGGCCAAAGGGCAGCTCTAGTTGTGGGTCCCAGGGAGCCTTGCTTCTTTGATAATTAACATTTTTACATTCCATGAGGCTTTTATTAAAAAAATATAATAAAAAGGGAAATGTTATAGGCAATGCTACCCACTCCACCTCGAAAATTTGACGAAGACGCCCTTGCAGTGGCCTGTGGCCGTTCAGATAAATTTAAAACAGAAAATTGTCATGTGTACTCCAAGCAAGCACTTTTAACCTTTTACTTATAAGATGGACCTCAAAGCAAACCTTCACGTTGGTTCATTCGCAACTCAAGGACTTCTTAGACTTAGACTTCTTAGACGTCGAATGTTCTTCTAAATTAAAACCTGCATTATATAATTTATATAACAAAAATAAACCATTAAAAAGGTAAAAAGAAAAAACTAATATTTCAAATAAATATTTCTTTCATGAATGTATTTGCGTTTATTTTCCTTTATAGCTCTTTCCTTGACTATCCCATAATAATATCCTTAGATATTTGATGTCATTTTTAAAATATTATCCCTTAATATTTATGAAATTTCTGTAAATAGCATTTTGTTTCCTCATACTTCGATAGTATTTTTAAATTCCCGCCTATACAAACTCTACGCATGACGCCATGCGCGTGGTCATTCTATTTTTGACACAGTTGATATCCTACCTTCTATTTTTTATACCATGGAGTTGAATAATATTCCTATTTTAAATGACACACCCTGTATTTAATAACATAAACTGATAGACCTTTAAATTATTTTTCATTCCATATAAGATTTCCCTATATCTAAATTCGATGGATCTTTAGTAAATAGCTGTTTTTTATTTTTAACATAAGGATTTTATCATATTATTTTTTAATCATAGTAACCATAGAGCAGATATCACTCAAAATATGGTATTGAACGAAATAAAGATTTTTATCGCTTTTCAATGTTAAATAGTTTCAATGTAAACCAAAACTATAATTTTTTTAATAAAAAAAAACATGTAATGACAAGGACATTTTAATTATTTGAAAACTACACATAAATGAAAAAAAGTAAGAAACAAATTGAAACCGAAACAAAAAATGAAATATAAAAAATGTTCAAAGTGACGTCCATCTTGTTCTAAACACAACTGAACTCGTTTTTCAAAGGATCGTTTCACTTTGAGAAGAATTTCTCCAGTTACTGTCTGAAAAGCAGCTCTTATTCTAGCTTTCTTCCGGAGTAGTTGGTGGGGTGTTATAAACTATACTTTATATGTGTCCCCATAAAAAAATCCAACGACGTCAAGTCTGGAGATCTTGGAGGCCAATTATATGGACCACCTCTTTCGATCCATTTATTAACAAAACGCCGGTTTAAGTATTGCCGTACTCAAAGTTTAAAATATGCGGGGCTCCATTCAGCTGCAACCACATTTTCTGCCTAGTATTTAAAGGTACATTATCAAGGAACCCAGATAATTTTCTCCGCAAAAATTTTAGAAATTTTCTGCTATTAAAATGATCGGTAAAAAAATAAGGACCAATAACATGTAAACCTAATATTCCTCCCCACACATTCAAGGACCACCTATGCTGGTGATCAAGAGTACGAAAGATGTGAGGATTTTCGTAACTATAATAATGATAGTTATGGCGATTAACGAATCCATTATTATTTAACTCGTGCACTCGTCTGAAAACAGGACATTATCAAAAAAATTCGCATCTGATTCTACTTTAAAGTTGAAGGTGGTAGCCATGTGTGAGTTATAAGTTCAAAAAGGTAAATCAAACGAGGGTGGTCCTTAGGATCTCACAAGAGTATTTTATTACGACCGGTTTCGAGGATCAGATCCTCATCATCAGGTAAGGTCTAAAAATAGAGAGGAAAAACGAATGATCTCATAACTAATAAAGTGGGTTTAAACATTTTAATATGAAAGTTGTCAAATATCAAGAACTCACCCGTAATTACTCGTCTATTTAAGACTAAGCTAAGAGAATTATCCCAGGGTCGGTGTAAAAACAAGTATGCGAGTATTTTTTAAAATACATAAAAAATATAAAAAACAATAGTTGCAACAAAAAGTTGATGTCAAAACACATAAACAAAAGTAGGTCTAAAACTATTAATTAAAATTATTAAAATATTTCACGAACGGACGAACAATTAAGACAAACAAATTTAAAAACTTTTTAAACCCTACAAGCACTAAAATGGGTTCTTGGACAAGTGTTTATAATTCTACAGGAATTAAATTTTATTTAGATTAAATATACTGATTAACGCCCTCCTTTTCCATTTTCATTTTTCAGCACATTACTTCAAAAAATAATTAACCAAATCAATAGTTTTTTCTCTCTTTTCATTTTAACACCATTTCCTTTTCCGTTGATTGTTACCAACTTCTTAATTTGAATATTAGTACATCTAAAATTATTTTCCAACGCTAATGCTAGACTCTACTTTTAACAATAATAATTTATTTATTTCATTTTGTTTATTACGTACAAATTCAAACAATTCATTTTATAAACCTATATTATTATTAAGAAACATTTATTTTTTTCGCCAACGCCATCTATTAGCCGATGGTCAAAATATTTAAATTTGACAACCTCTAAACTGTTATCTTAAATATTAGAATGGTTAATTCGTCTATTTATATCTTGAGGGCGTTAATCAGTATATTTAATCTAAATAAAATTTAATTCCTGTAGAATTATAAACACTTGTCCAAGAACCCATTTTAGTGCTTGTAGGGTTTAAAAAGTTTTTAAATTTGTTTGTCTTAATTGTTCGTCCGTTCGTGAAATATTTTAATAATTTTAATTAATAGTTTTAGACCTACTTTTGTTTATGTGTTTTGACATCAACTTTTTGTTGCAACTATTGTTTTTTATATTTTTTATGTATTTTAAAAAATACTCGCATACTTGTTTTTACACCGACCCTGGGATAATTCTCTTAGCTTAGTCTTAAATAGACGAGTAATTACGGGTGAGTTCTTGATATTTGACAACTTTCATATTAAAATGTTTAAACCCACTTTATTAGTTATGAGCTCATTCGTTTTTCCTCTCTATTTTTAGACCTTACCTGATGATGAGGATCTGATCCTCTAAACCGGTCGTAATAAAATACTCTTGTGAGATCCTAAGGACCACCCTCGTTTGATTTACCTTTTTGATTCTACTTTGTCCGTAACCCATAAACAAAAATCGATTCGTTGTTGAAAGTCCCTTTGATATAGTTCTTATTGCAGCTGTTCTTATAAGGATGAAATTTATGTTTTTTTATTATTCATCCAATACTTCTCCTACTTATTCCAGTTTCTCTACTATTAGCCCGATGACTTGTGTGTGGTTTTTGTATTAGTGAGCCACACGGAAAAAAATATGACTAGAAAATTTTACAACAATGTTGTAGTAGTAGACTTGTAGAAAAATACTTAACAATTTGTAGAAAATTTTACTACAATTTATAGTTAAAAACTATTAATTATTGTAGCAATTGCATTGTCGAATAAACTGCTACAAAAATAGGAAAGAAGTACACAATGTTTAGTATATTTTACTATTGTTTGTAGAAGTAGAAATTTATTACAATTATCGTAATTACTACTACTAACTTCTGTAAAAATTTGTACAAATATTAATAATTATCTCTACAAAAAATAGTAATTTTCTCTACAAAAAATAATAATACTTTACATCCCTTCTTCAAAAATATTCTATAATATTGTAGAAATTCTAAGTCATGTGAATAAAACAGAATTCGGCTATTGGCCAACGTTTTCTGACGTCGATCATAAACGGCCAGACAGCAGTAGTCGTTCGCCATGTTCACATAGCAAAGCATGGTACATATACGAGTACCTATAACACATTATTATATTATAAGCACCGATGCGTTTGAGAAAATTTTAATAATAAATTATATTGGTGGTAAGTACATTTATTATTGTTTCTGAATAATTTACCTTTAGATAACTAATTTAAATAACCTTAGTAGATTATTTTAAAAAAATAGTTGTGGCTAACGATCGAATGTTGTGCCCAACGATCGAATTTTGTGCCAAGTTCAATGATGTTTTTTGTCTTAATTGTGACATACCTACTTTCTCATTTTTGTTAGTTATCTGACTTAGTCATTTAATATCCAAATCAGTGTAAAGGTGATAAATATCCCCGTTTTAAGGGTATGAACAATTCAATTGGTATTAATTTTTATTTCATATTTTTCAGGTGCAGAAAAGCCAACTGAGACTGAGGGCGCTATTATTACTGTTATTTATTACATAATGTAATTAAGAATTTGTATCTTTTATATTAAAACAATAAATTGAATATTTTATTAAGGAACATTTTTTTCTAGGTTATAATTATAATAATTATGGAATACTACTACAAATTTTATTAAAAATTACTACAATTTGTATGAATTTTTACTATTTATTGTGTAAAATTTTCGTATTTATTTTCATAAAACGCAATACATTTTTAATATAAATTCATACAATGAATAGCAAAAATTATAACAATTTGTAGAACAATTCTTATGATGCATTTGGATCTTTTTACTAAATATTGTAGATAATAACTCTACAATACATTCACCACAAATATTTGGAAATTTTTACTACAAATTGTCCCTGTCCCTATATGTACTATTTATTGTAGAGAAAAAATCTACAATTGTAGAAATTTGTTCTACAATTTTTGTTCCGTGCAATAACCCATAATTCATTATCATGATCTGAATAATTTTTTTATTATCTACGTTTCCGCTAACTTTAAACTATTGTAGTAATCTTTCAAAAGCACGTCAGGTTTCACTCGATCTGGGTATTTTTGGCCGTAACCTCTAGAAGCCAATAAACATCAAGAACAAGCACCATATCAATTCTCTCTGCTTTAGAATAAGTTTTCATGTTTCAAATTCGATTTTTCGTAGTTACATTTTATATCTAACTTACTAAATGGAAATGTCAAACTCGCATTTGACATTTAAATTCAATGGTCACTTTGACGGGAAAGAGTATTTACAAAAATTAGCTATGTTAAACATAAAAACAGATATTAACTAAAAAACCGTTGAATTTAGGTATAGGGGTTGAATTTAGTTATAGGGAATTCTTCTATGGAATGAAAGATAATTTAAATGTCTATCAGTTTAAGTTATTAAATACAGGGTGTGCCATTTAAAATAAGAATATTATTCAACTCCATAATGTAAGTTGAATTCAATTAAACTAAATGTAATGCAAAAATTTGCATTTTATTCGATAGTCTAATACCTTGGCTACGCATATCGCAGGTGACTGTTGAGGTGTTTTAAATAACCGCGACATACTAGATTATGTTGTTCAAGCTTACAAATTAATAATCCTTTAAATGTTTCAAAAACGAATAAAGATAGGTATAGGAAACATTACAGAAACTTAACTTTATTTTTTCCGGGGAATCAAAAGACACCATCAAATATAGGGTGTTCCCTTTAAAAAAACATACCTTTGATATAAATTCCTATTTTTGGGTCTCCCTGTATAATTATTTTTGATTTGTAGTGTTAATGGCCCTGTATATCCCTATTAAGAAAAAAAATTCAAATTTTAAGACGTTTTCCCTACAGAGACCGACGCGTATAGGATGCGCCACCCTGTATATATATATAATAATAAAGTGGATTGTTCCTATTATGAAATTTATTGTTTGTGTACTTATTTTTTTCAGGCAGTTTTATTAACGGATTGTATTTTTGAAAGCAACTGGACATCAATTGAAAGTAAAGAATTTAGAAAAGATATTGCATTCGTAATTCAACAATCTCAACAATACCCAAAATTTACAGCATACAATATATACGATTTGAATATGGTATCTTTTGGCAAGGTATATGAGTAGTTTTAAAATATTTATTTTTGATTACAGTGATATATCAACCCCGAAATTGTATATACTGGCGATGATAAATTACATAATTATTAGGTGGCACAAAAAAACCGGTGATAACGGTGATGACAGGTTCAAAAAACAAGAATTTTTATAAAATCAGGTTAAATTGCTTTTTCTATCAAATCTAGTTTCGATCAATTTTCTTTTCGATGATTTTTCTTTTTAATAATTTTTCTTATCAATCAATTGTTATTCGATAAAATATTTTTTCGATCAAATGCATTGGTGCATAAGTAGCTTGGTAAAAACAAAATATGGTGCAGTTTATACATTTGAAATCACTCTCAGTTCATGAAATTTTATGAAAACTGGAAGTATCGTTTTTATACTATTGCGATGGTTGCGCAAACTAATATTATACTTGGAACTACAACGTGTTGTAAGTGGCATGTATTTAAAAAATATATCTTCTCTTGTTAATTTGTCACAGTTTAACACATTCGCGGACAGTGACGTGAAATCACGTCATTGGCCTTTGTTTCAACAGGGCACTAAAATAAAGTCAAGTGTGCTCAAATTGTCACAGTGGTAGAATAAGTACTTTTATACGTAGAGAAACGAAACATATAGCTTTAAAGTCACATTTTTCCAAAGAATTAGAAATATAGATAAAAACCGCTGTGTCATATAACGGCATGCCCTGCGAAAAGCATAGTTTATTCTCAAAATGACAGTGACGTCATATACCGCACAAAAAATAAAATGAAAAACGTCAATTTTAAAGAAAATATGTATTCATATGGAACTAAAACTAGTAAATAAATACAAAATGCTTTGGTAAAAATAACAAAAAAAAGAAAAAGACTTATTCATGCCAATCCTGGAAACATTTTCTTTTACAAAGGGGTGGCTTGTCGGCGCAATCCAATCCCGGCACTGCCAAGCAGTTTCTTTTCTTCTTTTTATCATATAACAATGCTTATAGCGCTTACAATATTTCCCCCGTTTTTTAGAATCTTCTGGTATAGTGATGGCCTCAAGAACATGACCAGTATTCTTCCTAGATTTTTTAGATGGCATGAATTTAGTTCGTTTTGGTACAGTTTTAACAAATTCCCCGCTATCTTTTTGATCAGGAGAAATTTCGAGCACTAGAATATGAAGAATTACTTTGAGTGTATTCAGGATCATCTATAGAATCGTCGGTACTATATGGATCGTGTGCGTTTTTAGCATCCGATTCTGACCCTTCAACCTTCGTGTCAAGCTCATCATACCACCTAAGTAGTTGTTGTTTTTGCTCTTTGTCCATTTTAGGTACGTACTAAGCCAAGTATTTAGCACACACAGTCCCTAACAATGCGTAAATCTGAACTAAACGCGCCAAAACTTTGTCTATCACCGAACCAAATTTTTCCCCCCACCAATGACTTTCGCAAACAATTTTTATCATACAGGTGTCTAGTGGGATACTTTACATATTTCTTTATACAAAATTGACGTTATATCATGCAAAACATTAAGCCTTTGACGGCAGTTGCCGTCAGTGTCCCTACTGAGATAATATATGTTACGGCTTATGCACATACCATAAAATATGAGTGTCCGCGAATGTGTTAAAAATGGAAGTCGAAGAAACAATTAGTATTTTACTCCAGTAACTACGTGCTGTATATAATATTACCTTTAGCTGGAAAAAATTGCGGAAGTTTTCATATTAGGCGATTTGATGTATTTTTAAATGCTCTTTTCGATTTTTTATTTTGCCACATCGTAATTTTGCCGCCGTCGACGCCATATTGTAATAAATTGTGCAAAAGAAGTTTTTTCAAAATATCTTATTAGTTGTTTTTTTAGCAAAAACAACTCTAGTACTTATTGGCATAAGGCGAATGTTGGGAAAACCAATTCATTATTTTTTTACGTCATTGTTTTCACGATTAATCCGGGAACTTCTCAATTTAACATGCTGTTCCGAAGTGCTAAACTCTATATTACAAAAATTTTCAATCGCGTCACAAATATTGTGCAAGATTAACATTCCCATAGTCCACCTAGAAGGTATGCTTTCCGGAACGCCCCTCCCACGAGTTAGTCCACCTACGGTTTTCATCGCTTGCATTAATGATTTCTCAATAACCATATCAGACCATGTGCCACACCAAAATTTATCAGAATATTTAATTGTGAAGCGCCCTCCATCTGTAAAAGACCTGGATTCTGTAGGATTCATCTTTTCTTTTAAACTATACATATCCTGTAAATATAAATGTCCACATTTAGCGTACAAAAAATGACCAACGGCATGAAAATAGGGCAACATTTGGTGGATACTATTAAGATGAAGGTCCCAGTTTCCACTTCTTTCGGCTTCAATAAATTGTTTCATAACCGATGATATCATGCGAAAGCAAAAAACCCATAATTTAGCAGTTGCACCACGTTACTAGATGATTTTCAAATTTTGAAGCTAATTCTTTGACGCATTCTTCTTGGTCTGCTCCAAGTAATAACGACTTGTCGAAATCGCATAGAATTGCTTCTAGTCCTGCGTATTGGTCTGGTGATAAATCAATTTCCTGCATTATCAATTTTACGAAATTGACACATGTGCTCTGCACGGACGCGTGACCTGCGTTGGGACTCTCATATTTCAATACGGCAGAGCCCCTGTCCAGATAACATATGTTCAAGTGAGTTCAAAAGTGGAAAAATTGTACTTAGAAGCTCGGTTAATCCACTACCATTCATAATATACCTCATGGCTCCCATGATCGACATCAATAAATAAAAGCCACCTAATCGTATAACATTTTTCAATTTTGCTTTCATGCCACTCGAACAATTTGTTTTGCTTTAAAATAAAGTGGCTGATTAAAAGTGATGAAACATGTTTGCTATTGCTAAAACATATAAAAATCGTGCAATAATGAAAGGCAAACAAGCTATAAAAGATTTCTGATATGAATGGTTTACTGTCACTTTGCCCATAAATCCATTCCATCCAGATATATTGGGCAAATCAGCCCAGCAGATCTGAAGTTGCCGACATCATTGTATTTGCTACTGAAGAAATAGTACGGAGATCTATAATAGGAATACCCTGTAGACTGGAAAAGTTTATCTTCTCATGGCTTTGTAGTGCAATGCTACCAGAATTTTAGATGTACTGAGCTGACGACATTTCTGAGACGATGAATATTCTGATCAGAAGCACTGACACTTTCAGGCGTTATACAATGGATGCCTCCCCTGGCATGAAAAGTGTTTCTGCCATCCAGGGTTTGAGTAATAAAGTCCGCATTGTCGAAAACGAACTGTGAAAAGGCACTCCCGTCAATACCCAAAGGACGGTGCATCAAAGACGAAAGTTTAAAAAGTGGTGCTTCCGTGTGCGAGGAAAATACTAGTGAGGCCAAGGTGTCAATTAGCTTACGAGATCTAGAGATCTAGAGAGCTAGATTCGACCGATAGGCTCATGAATAAAATTCATATTGCTTTGCACGCTGCGTACTTGCTCAACTTTGTAATTCTCGTACACGAAAACGGATGTTTTTATGAAAAAAATGATAAAAATGATAGGTAGAGAAAATTATGTGGTTTAATTTACTATATAACCATTTTCACTGCAAAAGCAACGAGTAACGAGATATCTTGAAAAATCTCTGTTTTTACAATTTATTGCAATATCGCGACGACAGCGCCAAAGATACGAGGTGGCAAAATTAAAATTCGGAAAAAGCAGCTCAAAATACGTAGAATCACAATATTTCAAAACTTCCGCTAATTTGTCCAGGAAAATTTACGTAGTTACTGGACTATTTAGCTGTTCGTAAAAAAAATAAAGAGTAAAAGAGAAAGAAGTTATTAGATAGATAGATACTTTATTGTTTTAAAATATAAAATTTTATAAACAAAGTCTAAGTTCTTATAGTACTAATTGGTATTTACACAATTTAAAATTAAAATAAGAATATAAAATTAGGTATTTACACAATTTAAAATTAAAATATAAAAATGTAATTAAAATAAAATAAAATTGGTAAATATTACAGTACACATAAAATTTTAGTTAAAATTATCATTATTAAATTCTTCAATAGAATAATAAGTTTTTTTTAGCATAATTTTTTTCACACTTCCATAGAATACTTTATAATTTGTAATTTTTCTTATTGCCAAGGGTAAATGATTAAACATTTTTCTTCCGTTGTATATAATAGAGTTCCTTATTAATGCGGATGATGGGATCGGTAGATAAAGGTAGTACGATTGCCTATTGTATGTTATAATTATTTCTTCCTTAAACTTTTTATGAATAAGAGCTACCGTCTCTAATATAAACAGGCTGGCTACTGTTAAAATTTTATATTTATAAAATAAGGGTTTACAAGAAGCATAATTATTAAGTTTACACATGTACCTCAGGGCCCGCTTTTGCATAATAAAGACTCTATTAAATAGCTCGTCAGAACATGCACCCCAGAAACAAATGCCATACCTCAAATGGGATTCTATCAGCGCAAAATATACGTTTCTTACAGCCTGCAAACTTAAACTGTAGGTCACTGATCGTACTGCAAAACAACCCGACGCTAACTTTTTACATAATAAATTTATGTGACTTTCAAATTTTAGTCTATAATCAATAGTTAATCCTAAAAATTTATTTTCATTTGTAACGTTAATAATTTCGGCTCCCATTGAAATATTTTCCATTTCACATTTAAAACAAATAATATTGGTTTTTGAAATATTAAATGTTAGATAATTAGCGTCACACTATTGTTTAATTAATTCAATGTCCCTGCTTATGATACGATGCAAGGTTTCATTATTGTTGCTGAGCCAAAGCACTGTCGAATCATCAGCAAAAATTGCAAATTGTCCCTGAATGTTAATAGTGACAATGTAATTAAAGTATATAAGGAAAAGTACTGGTCCCAGTACTGATCCCTGTGGAACTCCGCAGTAAATATGTTCTGACATTGATGATTGATCATTTAAAGTTACCTTTTGAATTCTATTATTTAAGTAGAATTGAAACCATTTTAAAGCAATTCCTCGAAAACCATATTTTTCAAGCTTGTCTAGCAGTATTTTGTGATTCACACAATCAAAAGCCTTGGTTAAATCACAAAACACTGCTGCAGCCACCCGATCGTCATTAATTTCAAGATATAGTTTTTGCAGGAGAGAGAACATAGCATCTGTAGTGTTTTTTGCTGATTGAAAGCCAAACTGAGAATGGGAAAGTAACGAGTGCTTATTTAAAAAATCCAACATTCTTGACTTCACCAATTTTTCTATAACTTTCGCTAAGGTTGGTAGTAAAGATATGGGACGGTAATTTGCTGGATTATTATGGTCTCCCCCTTTGTGCAATGGTATGATATTCGCAACCTTTAAAGTGTCACAAAATGTACCTTCAACAAATGAGTAATTAATTGCATCAGCTAGTGAACTTAATATTGTGTCTGAAAGTTGTAACAATACTTTGGCTGATATTCCATCCCACCCAGAAGATTTTTTTTTGGTTATAGATTTTAAAACTTCCTTAATATCTATGTAATAAGTGGGTATAAAATAAAAAATGTCGGAAACATTAACGTTATTTAAGAATGATAAAGGGTCAATGAAAGATTTTATTTGTACAGCCAATTTTGGTCCAACAGAACAGTAAAATTGATTAATATCGTCTGGACTAAGATCAGTAATTACTGGTTTTAAATGTTTGCCCCTCAACTCATTAATGATTTTCCAGGTCTCTTTCTGTTTATTTCCTGAAATTGCAATTATTCCTTCGAAATATAGTTTTTTAGCTAACTTTATTGTTCTTCTGTAAACTGACCGGTATTTATTAAAGTAATTTAAGAAACTTATATTGTCTGCTCCAACATATTTTTTGATCAAATGCAGGGAGCGTATATTTTTAGCTGATGTCTTAATTCCCTTTGTCATCCAACCTTTTCTGTTTTTTATCTTTAAGTATTTTATGGGAAAAGCTTCATTGAATTTATTTATTAGAGCATTATGAAATTGCTCTATTGGGTTATCAGTTGATAAAAGTGTATTCCAGTTCACTTCCGAACAAATTTGTGAAAACTTATTATAGTTATGTGTACTATATATTCTACCTTGTCTATTTGAAGCTTTAAAGGAGATATCATGTAATATATGGCATAACACCAAGTCATGATCTGACAAACAATTTTTAATTACATTACACATTACCTGATTAGAAATAAAATTAGTACAAATATAATCTAATAAGCTCGTTTTTCTTGTGGGGTCTTTGACATGCATTTTTAGATTGAAACAACTCAATAGATTATTTAAAGTTTTCATGTTTGAGTTATTAGGCCCTAGGTAATCTATATTGAAGTCACCACTTAAAATTATGTTACTATTAGGTGCTATTTGAGAAATAATATTTTCTAGTCCACTAATAAATGACTGGACGTTCTGACTCGGCGATCTGTATTGATTGATTATTATTATTATTATTATTATTATTATTGAGCAGTGTGAACAACTAGCGCGGATTCCACTACGTCTGAACGAGTCCTAACGATTAATATTTAAAACCACTGACTAACCTACTACAGAGACTTTTCGGAGACGAAATAGAATAGAGATATTGCAAATTTCTATAACGTCAGCCACTAATAGTGACATCGCAATTAGAGGCAAATAAATTCTATGCTAAAATAAGACTTATTGCAAACCTGAAGTTTTGACATTGTTAAATTACAGTTCATCTTTTTGTTGTCTATAATAGTACATAATTTGGAAGCGGCTTTGGAAATTATTATTTTAGAAGGGTTAGATGACGATTATATTGAATATTTAATATTAAACATCTTCGATCTGATACGAATGTTGGCGAGCGCATCCGAAAACTATCGCCACTATCTACCGCCTTCAAACATCCACAATTATTAAGGACAGACACAATCTTTAATAAAGTCAGTTCTAGAAGGTAAATGATCTGCACATTCTCAGATGTCAAAATAAAAACGGCGCTAATAGTGACTAACTTCAAGTGAACTTGCAATATCTCTCTATTATGTTCTTATTCTTATTACATAACTATATATTATTTTTGTTTCAGGTACTAAAAGTAGCCTTTTCCACGTATACTTTGTTACGAAATTTGCGAAACAAATAAATCTTAAGTTTTTATTTATTTGATGACGTTGCACTTTAAAATTTTCACTAGTTATTTAGAAAATTTTAATGCACCAACAAATAAGAAAAAAAATCAATGTATTGAATAGCTTGAAAGTATTGTTTATTAAATTAGTTAAAGAAAACTTTTTGTTTTTTTATAGATCGTTAGAAATATTGTGTCCATCTTATTCCTGATCTTGGGGGTACGTAGGAAGCTAATTTATTAGCTTCTTTCATGAAGGAGGTAAAAATATTCTGTCTATTTTGGCAAAACAAAGGAAATCGTTTAAAAACACGTTTAACGGCAATCCAGGGACGGACCTAATTAGTTGTATGTTAGCCTTTAAAAAGAAAATGTTATACGGTAAATGTATTACAGTATGAACGAATGTCGTAATCATCTAATTCACAACATAGCTAGGTTTGAGATTTAAGCCTTTCAGTATTGCAAGAAAGTCTTTTTTTTAAACTGTAGGTGGATATGATACAGCCATTTTGTCCAAAAACGCAAAAAACTACCTCTTTTCGAGAATTTCACTAGTTTGACGAGAGTAGTAAGGGGCATTATTTATTACTATAACAGCATTTGGTGGCAAATTAGGAATTAATTGTTCACCAAACCATTTCTCGAACAAGGTAGATGTCATAATATAAGTGAA